ATTTATAACCAAAACAATAATAGTTTTACATTAAGAACAATAAAAGATAGAAGAATTAACTAGGTGGATAGTCATATCATCAGAGTATGCATTTAAAGCAGCACTGTGTCTTTTCAATTAGAGTAAGGCATAGTTGCCCAGAAAATATACTTTCACACACACTTAGAATATCATTTAGAGAATATCAACACTGTATGACAACCTTTGCTCCAACTTTTGACAATATATTCATATACACGAAAACAAAGATTACAGAATTTCAGAAAAGAAAAACCTGGAGATGATACTGATTTATGCTAATGAAATCTGAGCAGTCCTTCATTGAGACACATACAATTCCTGAGCAGTATTTATTAAAGAAATRAAGAGAAAATTTTGATGGGTTCTTGCTATGATGAAGAGCAAGATATATRATTAGTTTATACACTACTGTTTTGTGATGCAAAACTATTGATTTCTAGAATAAATACATCAACTTCCAAACAAAAACTACTGGACGATAAGATGAATTGAAAAGCAGGCGAAGAATGATCATGGTTTATTCATCATTCAACAGACAGTATTTTCTGATTTACCAGAAAATAAACAGATTTATGAATTAGGTTCATAATGAACTGTAATCAAGTCATTATAGGTTTTCTATTTATTGTCAGTAACAGCAGGAAAAAAGCCTAATATATTATATAATCCTTCAAAACATATTAACTAAGGCTAACACACACACACTGAAAACAAATTTTCCAGCAGAAACAATAGTTTTCCAGTAGAGAAGAGTAGAATCTGCAGAAATTCGATTGTGAAACTGACACTTCTCTCTCCTGGGCAGCAAATATGCAGCAAATTCGATCAAAGCAAACAAGAAAAATGAAGGAKTTAAATGAAAAAGGAACATTATGTTACTCTCTGACCCTAACTCATTTAACAGTATATAAAAAACCTGACTAATCTTCAAGTCAACTATGGTTAACACAATAAAAAAAGCTTCTGAACACCTTTCTTTTCCAGAACTTAACCTCTTTTGCTGAAGACATTTTAGAGATACCATCAGCTTCGTGCAGATCCAGCTGTTAGAAAATTCACTTAAACCTACCAAGAAGATAAAATAATTCTATGAAACTACTCAAGTACGGCTTCTGTGTGGCTTCATAGTATATGTAGACTAAAACCAATTTAAAGCCAGGTGCTAGCTGATGGTTTCTGGACCAGATAAAGAAATCTCCCATCTTTCAAAGCTAAAAAGATGTTTATTACATCATTTACTGAAGGATGACAGCAAAATGATTAAGATAAGTGCCAGCTGGTCTGTTCTGAAACGTTCACCTCTAAAGGAGTATTATCATTAATTGGGGAACAATCCCTGTAATAAATCCTTTGAAGTACTTTAAGAAAACTTTGAAGGATTTTTTTCTAACTGGAATATAGCTCAGCAACCACAACTGAGCAATGGGCTGACATTAGCACTTTCTCTAATAACCCACAAGCTAAAAGACATCATTTTAAATTTCACTATGGCATTAATGCAAATGTCCATGGACACTTCATGAAGCCATGTCCTCTGCAGAAAGTAGGCACAAGGCTTTCTAACATTAGTGTCTCTTACACTGGTATTGAGGAAGTCTAGTTCTGCAATTGACTTAAGAGTTTTGTCTACTAGGACATTAGAGTAACAAGTAGGGAAAAAACCCAACATAAAAATATACTGTGCAAACAAACAGAAAAAAAGTATTCTTTTAAATAAGATTAGAATTTTTGAACATAACTACCACTACCTTATCCGCTGTCTCACAAGATCAAAAGGCATGTTAACTTGCTGCTCAAACTCACATTCAAAGCAAGAACTTCTACTACATCTCAACTACTGGATATTGCATGCTATTTTAGCTCAAGTTTTCTACAGCAGTATGGACATCACCAAATTAGGCAACATGGCAATACAGTTAAAGATAATTTCTTGGCAGATAATTTCTGAATATCTAGGAAAACCTCTCAAATTCTTTAAAAAAGAAGAAAAAAATCACACCCATTATTCTACAAATACAAGCTCATGATCTCTGGACAGGCTCAGGTTCTTTCTACCTATCAATTTATCAAGACTATTTTAAAGAAAAACAGATTTCMAAAAAAAAATACAGTATACACTCTGTATGTCCAACGACTATGAAAAGAAAGCTTTGAAACACTGATTACTGCTTTTACAGTTCTGTCATCATTTGGGAAAGAAGGAGCTATCAATCTCATGACTCATGGTGAAAACTTGGAGTATTATGTATGAGAACAGAATGCAACACTTTTTTATTTCAGATATGTTTTTTTTTTTTTATTTCAGCAGGATTTTAAAAGCTTCAGGGTCTCCTCTTGACCTGACAAGTCTCTACATTTTATTTTGGTTCCTTCTACTAACAAAAAGGCCTGGAGGAAATAAAACAGCTTTTGTAAAGACTAATGGGTCCTTTTGAAATTTCAAAGCCATAAGAAGTGACATGCAACAATAACATCTTTGCTAAAGTAAGGTCAAGTTTTAAAACAATATGCAGAGYGTCACGAAAGAAAGAAATAAATAACCCTCCTCCAAAAAAACAAAAAACCCTGTAGGTTTTCTCTAAAAGATGAGCTAGTTTGAAAACATTCATGACTTTCAGATATTATACCCAATGTGTTTGCAAGCTTGTCAAATCCAAACATATGTCATTCCAAAGTCACTTTCAGCTACAATATTTCTGTATAATTGCACAGTATGGTGACATCTCCAATAGCATCTATTTTACATAGGTAATAGCAGAAAATTACATGCAAAGGTAGCCAATCAGGGATTTACTAGGTTTAGTTTCACTGTAAGCATGACTGGCTTACACATATCACTTCCATTAATTATATGTTAAATCCTCTGGCACAGCAAGTTCAACAGATTCACCCTGAAGACAGTGATCAGAAAACTACTGTACCATGAAAATGGTCAGAGGCATCACAACACTTATTCCTTGTGAAGCGTTCATGGAAGATGAGGCAGGGGACAGAAAGGTTACTGCAAAACGCATCCAAACCCAAAATGATGAAGGAAAAACCCACAAGACTAGACAAGTTAGGCGATTTATATCCAAGTATTCCAAAAAGAAGTACTTTACTACAATACGCATGGATTAAATAATGAGTGATGCTTTGGCTAGACGAAAAAATAGTRCCCACTCCTCTCTGCTATGCTCTGTCTATACATATTAGTCTCTGCCCTATATACTCAGCTGATCTCAACTGGCACCTCCTGCTGTGCACATGCAAACTTCAACTTTATGTCCACAAATATGACTTCCTTCAATTTCCTTTGCTTTCTAGATGCATTGTATTTTCCAAAAACAACAAGTGGCCATAACCATGACTTAGATGTTTCAGTGAATATACCCTTCAACACTGGGGCTACATCTTGACAAACTGGCACACAGCTGTCCTTGCAGGCACTCAGCCATCAAGACAACACCAAACAAATCTGTACCATCTTTGTATTAGGTACAGCCAGCACTTCTAGTCCTGGCTYTGAAGCCTACAGCATATTTCTCTAGTTGTTTTTCCTGCTTTCATGGCTCTGAGTATTTCCACAGGATCTTCCCCAACATTCGAGGTGCACAAATATGTAATACTCCTCACAATRGACTATTTATTCATTACTGCATCCTTCTCTGATACCTCCACCAAATTTGCTCTCATAAATACCAATTTAACTGAATGCAAGTCCACTAATGGCAAACACATAAGCAGAGGCTTGTCACTTAGGCTTTTGGAAAGGATCACCCTCTCCAAGGCTACAGAGACTCTGCTTCACTCCTCTTAGATTTGTCGTAACATTTGTAGCCAAGAGCAYACAAAGATACAGCCTAAACAAGCTTCTGAGATATATCTTATTTTCTTATAATTCAAAAGGAAATCTCTACAGACTTCAGAATCTTCAATCTATGTTAAGTCTAGATAAAAACAAGTTGCTTTCATTGTTACTCACTATTTATTTAAATACTTTTCCATTTCTTCTTTTTGATCCTCAGTTGAAATAAAAAAGCAATTATTACCAGGGCTCTGTCTCCACAACATGTGCTCCCACCACTAAGGTGACAGGAGGCCTAACAAAAGCCTATAGGTTTTTACCTATACCACACCTGGCAACACCAAAAATCAGATAAATATGTTGCGACTTAAAATAATCTTATTCACTTCAAAATAAAATAAAGAAAAATGGTATCACACACTCAGTACCATTCAATATATTTGACAGAAAAAAATCCAAGGCACATACTGTTAAGGACAAATTTATAAATAAGTTACTGAACAGAGCCACTATATCATTAGAACAATATAACAACATTTTATAATGAACACAGATGTAAAGAATGAACTGGCACATACAATCTATCAGAGTGTTCACCTCTGTATTCCTCTTGTTAAAACAAACATGATATTAAAAATTGAAAGGACATTTGTAATTTCACCACAAAACCATGTACTCTCCAATGGTCTGAATATGTTTAAGATATGATAATATTGTTGTTATCATATTAAATACATATATGTCAGGTAAAAGAGCTAATACATGCATACATAATATTTGATATCATTTTCCTAATACTAGGTGTATTTTACATGAAACCTACATCTACATTTATTAAAAGCCACCTGCCCTCTGCATTGTGGGAGCCCATGCAAGGCGTGAAAACATTGCTGGGGAAATTGAAACGTCTGGTTAGGAAAGCCAACTCTTATGCAGCAGAGCAAAATCACTGTGAAAGGAGTTTCCACCCGTAAGAATTGCACAATCTAGTATATTACTTACTATTGTTACTCAAATCTTCTCAGACACTACGTGGTCATTACTGTCCTGCAGACACTTACTTCAACATGCAGGGTAAATGCAGCTAATAAGCATAATTAGCTCAGACACTATATTTAATTTAGTTTTGCACTAACGACTAATTGCCTACTCAGCGAAGGGGAAGTGTAACATTTTTTTTTAAGATGCTTACCCGAGGGCCCTGATCACCTTGATCTCCCTGCAAAGTGGAAAGATGAGATGATAGGTTTAACACAGCATCTGTGTGCTACCCAGCTCTCTTACATAATCTAACATTACACTGTGTCAACATAAATCGTGTCTTTAGTTCATGCTGGGCGGGATTTCCACTCACTTTGTTGGCATCACTCATATATCAACTCACCTTCTCGCCTTTTGGACCAGGAGGGCCCTGAAATAAACAGAAAGAAAATTAAATTGGTAACTTACTAATACTGATCAAGTCCTGGAACACTGCAAGAAACCTGTGATTTGTTCATGACAGTATGTTTCCTTACATTTTCCATGCCAAATGTTTGGGGCATTCCAGARACCACTTCTTCACAGTATTGGCGACAGGCTTTGTGTGGTTAATTCTTGAATAGTCCACTGGMATCACGTATTGAATCAGACTACTGAGAGCAGTAAAACTATGCTTGGAATGGCAAAATTTGTACTGACTTCAATTAGGGACAACAGTTTATCTCCTATCAGATAATAAATGTTTTCTAAGACTGTAAAACTTCTTTGCAAGTGAAACTAATAAATTTAGAAGCTTATAAATCTGCCATGTATTTTGGCACTCTTCTTAGCTTGGATTGCCAAAGAAAAATGCATTAGAAATTCTACGAGTAGTGTTTTCATTCCTATCTATAGAAGCATCAAACTGAAGTTGATGTTTAGTCTGAGCATCCTGTTCTAGGTAAAATGAGCTCTTTTATAAGAAATTTGTATAGCGTGATTTTACAGAAAAAAGAGTGATTGTTATTTACCATCAGAAAATCAAACAATAAGGTGACAGTAGCAGAGAAGAAAGGTTCTTTACTATTTTTGCTTTATTAAGAACCTTCCCAGAAAGTGCCTATCAGGTTTCTACAATGCTCGTTTTCAGGTCAGTGTCTTATGAATAAAAATGCTAGCAGTCTGCAGAAACTTGGCTGGTTATACAGTGCAGACTCTACCTCCTGCTTTCTGAAAGCTATGCAGGTGTTTCATTACAAAGGAGCTGAGGTATATACAAGAACAGCTGCAAGAAAAGAAAAGGAGCTATCTGAGCCAGGAGGGCCAACTGCTACAAGAGTAAGTACACATCCACTCGCACGTGTGTGTGTGTGCGCGTGTGTGCGCACAAGGGGGGAACAACCAGAAATGCCTGCCATCAGCAACCAAGTTAGATATGAGGGCAACCTTGTTGAGGGGAACACACTAGGACTATTTCATAGTTCGCGCTAGTAAAAACTCCTGTGGCACATGCAAATGCAACTGGAAGACAGGTGAGTCTGTTGCGTATCAAAGACACTTGTCTTTGAGAATTCCTCCCAAAGTCAACTTTCTGCTTATTTTTAAGGGCTTCTAATACATGCTAGAGGAAAGCATCTGCTGCTAAATCCTTCAAGGAGCCTCTCCTTCCCTAGCCTCTCCTTCCCTAGCCTGCCATCTCTCCCACTTGCTGCAAAGGCCATGGATCAAGTCTGCTGCCTGACCTCCCCGCAGCTGCTTAGGAAGGACAGTGCTCCCCATGAGCTAAGTGGGGACCATCTGCTCAATTAACACTGCCCTCTGCCCCCTTCATAATGCCATGCAGGATCCTGTGCTCTTTAATAATCAACTAAACAAAACACTTGATGAATAGCTATGACCTTGCAGCACCTTGAAGTTCTCTACATTATTTTTTTTTGATACTTCATTCCCATCTGCCCTTTTCCAACACACAGGTTTATATATACACAGGGGAAACTGCATATGGCATTTTGTGCTGCTAGTGGCCGATTCCCTGGATCCTTTTGTAGGATTCCATTACATCAAAATGCGGCAGATTTTCAGAAGGCACACTTTAAAACTTACACACACATGACATCCATTTTGCAAGTTCTCAGGCAAAATACCAACACTAACACATTAACTACAGAGAGGGAAGAATTAAAACCTCTGAATGATGAGGTTTTTTTTTTTTTTTTTTTTTTTTTTTTTTTTAAGAGGGTACACAGACAATGAACAAATGCTGTGGCTATGCTCTGTCTTCCTCAATTACCACCTCCTTTCTGGCTATGAGTATCTTGCTGCAAACTGCAAATAACTATTTCCTGGGCCTTCGACATGAAATTATAAAACTAAAACATGAAAGGACCAAGAAAGCAGACACATGTTGTCTTGGGAACCTTGCTGTGATGATGGGAGATGTTAATGCCCTCATCCAGATGCTCAACACCACTCCTGCCCAAGGACAGACAGGCTTTGGCCCACGGCTGCCCTTTACAACCAGTACAGCTGATGTAAACTATGGCAGCAGAGATCAGAGCAGCTGCCTGCACCGAGCCGGCTCACTGGCACCGAGACAAGCTGGAGGGTGCTCACTGCGGGGGCCAGTCAGCTGAGTGTAGTGCAGCCTTTGGCAGTATGCTTAGCTGGACCCGGGTATCCCTGCAGTTTTTCCTCTGCTAAAGAGTTCTCTGACGGTACAATCCCCAAACACATTTTTTAATATGACTAAATTATGTATTTTCATTTTATTTTGTTCTCCCTTTTTCGGGGAGAGTTTTTGGAAATTACCTGTGTACATCATATTTGGACATTTGTTTTTTTAATCATTCTTCCCCAGTGGGCAAAAGCAGTAACTACAACCTTGTGATGTTTTCTCTTATCAAGTCCCACAAACTACTGTCTCTATTTGCCCTTTCAGCATATAAGTTTTTCATAAAAAGTCTTCATCGCTACATGACAAATCTATTGTACTAGAAGGTAGAAACAGTTTTTCAAAAGGCCACAAGAGCATTTCTAGTGTGAACAGTCTCGCAAGTCTCTGCACTTGTGTTTGCAATGCTTTTGCTTTCCATTAAGAGTCTTGAAAAACAAACACTTCCAAACAAAAATAGCTCTCTTGGATACTAGTGAAGAGACTCAGTGGGGTTTAAATGAAAGAATATTAATGCAATTCTTTCATGGCTTGTTCACCCATATCTGGCTCTTCCCCTATTGTTCCAATTGTTCTCTATTGTTTTTGCAATTTTAAAAAGAAAATTCCTATCCATAGCCTTTGACATCTTCTTCCATTTATGCTGAGAAATTCTCCCAAGGTTTTACTGCAGAATTTATTAGTGTCTGCACACAGAGTGGGGAAGGCAGGAAGGAAAATCTGAGCTAGGTTTGCAGGGGTGGAGTATGAATCAGGAGACTGATTTGTTTAAAGGAGGGCAAGGTRTCTCTGTTTAAGGGTACACACACAAAGAATGGAGTGAGTAAAATAACACTAACTTTGCAGGCCATACTGTAGACATCCTGCCTTTTCTCCGAAGGAGATTTCTGTGCTTTCATTTGTGAGACGGCAGAGATCAAGCTGCTAGCTGCAGCACAAATGTGAAAGCACTTTGTGTAAGCTGTATGAACTGGCTGAGGTCAGAGCATTTCTGAAATAACTCTRCTGTGTTTTCACTGGAAACAGGGGCTCTTTTTTCTAAGTGTAATTATCTACCTCAGACTACTATACATTTCCAAAGAGAGTTTATAGCCTGTTTCACATAAGCAAAGCCTTGTAAATCACAAACACTGCAATAACTGCATTCATAATTAGGCAACAAATACTACTGTTTTCAAAACAAGATCTTCTAAACCTGACTGAAAGGCCTGCAAGCACCTGAAAGCCAAAAAAAAACAAAGCTGAAATAAGGGTCAGGTCCATGTTCTGGCAGATTTTCTTTCTTTCTCTCTTTCTCTCTCTCTCAGGGAGGAAGTTATCAAAATCCTAATTCCATTTTCTGATGAAATTCTTACATTATTATAAATAGTTGTACAAAGAATATTAGGGCAGGAGCACATAGTACTGGAAAACATGAAACCAATTCTGGTCTTTTTTCAGACACTATTCATTAAGATTAACTAAAAATTTACCCAAGTATGATTAGCATGATTTTTCACACATACAAAAATATAGTTCATTAATATTTATAATTATTTTTTGAATTCTGCCTTTGCAGTCACTGCCACCTTTGTAGTTTCCTGACAGTTATAGTCAGAGAACTTCCTCAGAAGCCAATATTTGACTTATATTGTTTTTATAAACCTTTTTTAATGTAAAATGATCTTTTTCATAAACATATCCCCCACATATTCCTGTCTCCATAAGTCTATCTCTGTAATAAAGTTGCTACATGACTTATAAAAGAGGCCCCAGTCACTGAAGGGAAGTGGAACCAGGGAGAGCAAGGGATACTCCTGAGGGGTATAAATGTTCCTAGGTTACGCAGACAGCTACCATGGCAGCGCAGAGGAATGTGTTAGTTAAGGTTTTTGGGACGCTCAGTTAGTCTGTGCCCCTCCTAGTGCCTAAGACAAGCTGGCAAACACCAGTCAAATGCTACCACGGCAGCACCAAGTCCAGCAGGGTCTGTCCACCTTCTGGGCTCTTAAGGAATCTGAGCTGTCAAGGCAYGCAGCTCAGACCCGACAGCTACTACAGAAGACACAGGCACCTCCTTGCTACAGAACAGTTASAGCTGTGGGCTAAAGCATCCACATGGTTGCAAAACAGAATCCAGGAAGCAATCCAGCATGTAGGCTCTGCCTTTGTTTAGGATAAAACACCATACATTGTATTCACCTCTATAAGTAGTTATTGCATGGCCTGTAAGCATGTAGGGGGTGGCACAAGGGAAGAGTAGCCTCGTTCAAAGRATGAGAAAAGCAAACCAGGTCTTTGAATCTAGTCGAATTCAAAAAGGAAATCAATTTACCAACAACACTCAATCATATTTTCACAAGCAAATGACATCTAATACACTGCCAACATTTATTCAACCCCTGGGGCTTATTTTGTGGTTTCAGCATTTAACAACAAACTGTTCAGTTATGAGTCAAACTTTTCTTTCATTGCAGTTTGGCTCACAGCTTTCACCTCTATCAAATTATAAGTTCCAACTCTGGAATTACCTTTACCTAGTTCCCAGCCTAGCCTTTAGTCATAGCAAAATACAAGGATCAAATAAATTGAATCATAAGATATGAAGTTACAAGAGTATTAAGAATTACAACATAACTTCAAACTTCCTACATTCATTTTAGTCTTATGTCCCCACTCTGCATGCCTTGAATTACTGAGCTAGGTGGTTTTGGCCTTTGCTAAAATCGTGCATGCTTGTCATGAGGGTCTACAGTTGCTAGTTCACTGTGTCACTTGCAACAAATTTACAAATGCTTCCA